AAGAAAGAAAGAAAGAAAGAAGGAAGGAAGGAAGGAAGGAAGGAAGGAAGGAAGGAAGGAAGAAAGAAAGAAAGAAAGAAAGAAAGAAAGAAAGAAAGAAAGAAAGAAAGAAAGAAAGAGTAGTGGAGTCTTTTCTCTGGTCTTGTTTTTGTTGTATGTACATGGGTGTTTTGTCGGCATGTACACACACAGATCCCCTTGAGCTGGAGTTACCAAAGGTTATGGTGTTGCCATTGGGTGCTGAGATCCTAACATAAGTCTTCTGAAAGAGCAACCAGTACTCTTAACCCCTGAGCCACCTCTCCAGCCCTTCTTCTGTGGTCTTCTTTCTTTATTCGAACGAGGTCTCACTTTGTAGCAGATGGCCGTCAGTTGAAGGCTGGCCTTCAGCTTGAGATCTTCCTGCCTCAACCTTCTGAGGGATGGGGTTGCATATACATGCTACCAGGCCTGGCTTGGATCCTGGGGCCCCTGGGTTCCTCACAGCTTGCTTCTTGGGAGGTTCTTAGAATAAGCTAGGCTGTATGGGTCACAAGGAAAACTTGGAGGGCTTGGAAGTGAGTGCCTTGGTCCAGTTGGCCCTGATGCTCTTGGGACAGACTGGGCCTGGCTCCCAGGGACTCTCCCCAGAGGTCAGGTGGTCAGGATAGACAGGTCTAGGCCTGGCTGGAGAATGAGAATATAAGCCTCTTTTCCCATTTCCCCAGGAGAAAACTTCACTGTGGCCCTGGGTCCATCCCACTTTAGCTGCTCAAGACCCTAAGTCCTTGGTCCAGTGGGGTTTCTCCCGTGTTTAGACTTTTCCTTTCCTGAGATTGTGCAAGGCCTTCAGCTGCCCTCGAAGCAAGCTCTAAGCTGGACACGGAGAGAGGGCAGAGGGTTCAGGAAAGAGGAAACAACCCCTAGGACAGGATCTGCCTCTCCTGGGAAGGAGAAGCAGAGAGCCAGCTGCGCTGAGTTCTTGGTCTTCCTTCCTGTTCTCTTCTCTGGCAGGCACTGTCAGCTAGCCCAGCAGCCATTTCCTCTTGTGGAATAAACGCTTCCATCTCTGGGCCTGGAGGGGAGGCAGATCAGGGAGTGGGCATCAGACTTTCTTGTTTAGAGTATTGTGACTCCTGGACCCTCCAAACCCATGCAAGCCCTAAACATGGACTCTAAGCTCTTCTCCCATGCTAGACCCTCTCTGGCCCCCATTGCAGCCGCTGCCTATTCCCTGCTCTACAGCACCTTTTCCCATCTCAGGCTCACCTCCCTGGAATGGCAGCTCCAGCCCCTGGCTTCGGCATTCAGAACTAGTTGAAACTAGGTTGTGGAATGAGCTGTGGATATTCTATGACTTCAGTTGAAGTCACTGCTTAGCTGCCGGTCCTGGTGGTGTAGGTTTGTAGTCCCAGCTCTCTGGTGGGCTGAGGCAGGAGGATCACTGACTGAAGGCTGGCCTGGTTACAGGGAAAATTCAAGGACAGAGCAGGGGAACTTATTAAAAAGAGGGATGGTGGCTGGGGCTGCAACGCATCAGCAGAGTCCTTGCCTGGCGTGCATGAAGCCAAGGTCCGATCCCCCCTACCACATAAAGCAGGTGTAATGATCACATCTGTAATCCCAGCATTTGGAAGGGAGAGACAGAAAGATCAGACGTTCAAGGTCATCCTCAACTACATAGGCACTCAGATATATGAGTCCCTGTCTGGGGGGGGGGGGGAAAGGCAATAGACATTATGTGTGGACTTTGTGGCTTACACAGTTGATGTTGGACCTATGTTTGGGGTTCTTCTCTATTTTGAAAATAATCTATTCCTAGAATTGGCCTCTGCACTCTTACTTCTCGTTCTGGGTGTCCTCCAGCTGGCCTCATCTATCTTTCTTTCCTCAGCTGATAGGGAAGTTGGGGGGAGCCTTGGGGTGCGGAAACAGAAACTGAATCCTTCTACACTGGAGAAAGCTACCCACAGTGACCCTGTCCTTTTCTTGCCTGCTGGACTGGGCTTCTGAGAGCAGAGGCCAGGGAGTTGGGGCCCCAGCCTGTGTTCCCTAGATGTCCTGGGGCACTTAGTCTCACATTCGGTCAATATAGGTTGCCAAGTATGCCCGAGCACTCTAATGGCACTGACATGGTGCATACTGACCCAGCGCGGTCATTTCTTCAGCACGCCCTGCTTGGGGACTCAAGGATGAACATTAGGGAATTCTGTGAGGACAATGCTGTCCAAGGATCATTGGTGGAACTCTTTCAGGGCCGCAAGTTCTCTGCGTCCCAAGACTGCTCTCCCTCCTTTTCTCCCAAGACAGAACTCATTCTGAGCCTACCAAATAGGCTGACTACCCCAATCCAAGCCCGGGTCCCTCCCCTTCTACACCAGGTTTTCACACAGAGACAATACTCCTTTTCTGGGGTTCTCTCTCCTCTTTCTTTTTAAAAATCAGTCTTCTGGGCATTTGGGGTGGAGCAGGCTGAGCCAGCACGCTCCTTGGACTCCAGTGGGACGGATCCCTGTGGTACGGGGCCAGGCCAAATGAGGCAACATTGTCATGTGGTCTCTCACACGCTCCATTTTGGTATCTGGATGTCTAAATCCTGTAATTGCTCCAAGAGTCATCATTGCCATTGCTAGGACCTCAGTTATTGGAGACAGGAAGCTGGGGCAGCAAAGAGGTAGCTTGCCAATATTCTGACTGCGGGGGTGCTGGCCCTGACACCATGTGTATGGATCTACACCCTAGGGCTACTTTGACCCCAAATGTATTCAATAGGCTGTTCTGGCTGTTCTGAAATCTCACTGTAGATCGGGCTGGCCTTGAACTCACAGAGATCCGCCTGCCTCTGCCTCCCCAAGTGCTGGGATCAAAGGTGTGTGCCACCACCGCCCAGATCAGGCTGCCTTTTCTTAAAGTGAGGAGCCAGCCTGGGCCAGTCTCCAGAAGCCATATAAGTTACCCAGAGGCAGTGAGTACTGGAGGCCTGGGGTCCCTGGGAAGCAGAGTTCTTTCTGTCCTACTTGGGCCTTTTGCCACCTTCCCTGTAAAGGCATCTATCTCTTCTGCCTTCTCCATGGGGCTAAGTACTGGCCTGGGCATCTTGGGAGCACCTCAGATCCCCATCCAAGCCTGAGCTCTTGCTCTGCCCTCTCCAGGTAGCCTGTGCAGTCATGTGCTAGATGGGCTGGGAGATGTCATGAGTTTCCTGTCCCCACTTCCAGCCTCCCCAGGCCTGCCTGTTACACTGCTGAGTCAGCAAGCAGCTGGGAGAATTGCAAAGTTGCAACACATGTGTGTGATAAAATATACATAAGATAAAATTTACCCTCCTGTCTTTAGGTGTGCCTTCAAACTGGTTATGTAGCCATCATGGGACAACGTCTATTTCCAGAACTTTCTCATTATCTACAACATGGTTTCCATACCCATTAGATAGCAATTCCATGGTCTCTCCTCTCCCAGCCCCAGTAACTTCATTCCATTTTCCGTCCCTTGGTCATTCATTAACTTGAGCAACGCACTATTTCTCTGGTATGTTACAGAGTGAGTGTCAGGGCTGGTTCTGTCCTGACTCATATTCCACCATGTACATGAGCACATCTCTTTGTCCATCTTCTTCTGGCCGGCACAGGGCTCTTTCTGTCCTTTGGCAACTGTGAATGACCGGTTATGAACGTGCTTTAGAAGTGTCTTTATGGAGTCCTGCTTCCATCACTACAGCTTTTAACCCCAGGAGCAATCCCAGGCGTGGGACTCTGCCCCATTTCACAGTACCGTGCTGACTTGCAGTCTCCTGCTCTGTGCCATTTTACATTCCTGCTAGTGACGCTCGGGGCTCCCGCTTCTGCCCACCCTCAGCAACAGTTTCTGTTCCAGCTTTTCCATTAGTGGTCATCTCAGTGGTGGTGAGTGGGTGCTCACTGGTCGTTTGTTCTGTGTGTGTGTGTGTGTGTGTGTGTGTGTGTGTGTGGTACATTCACATGTTTGTTGATGCATGTCCAGGAGTAGGACACAGGAGGACATTGTGTGTCCTCGATCATTTTCCACTTTATTCCCCCTGAGACAGGTCTCCTTATAGCTGAGCTGGCTAGCCCCAACAATCCCCCTGTCTCTGCTCCAACCAGGGCATGACCACATATAGAGCAGGCACTGTGGTTCTCACCCCTGAGCCAGCCCTCCCCAGCCCTCGCTGTGGTTTTGACTTTCATTTTCCGTGTGGCTTACCAGTGCCTTTTCATTTGTTTACTGGCGACAACATTTCTTCAGTGACAAGTATTTGCTCATTTCCCTAGTTGGGTTGTTTTATTTTGGAGGAGGCTATGCCATTGTCATCAGAAATTTCTACATGTAATATTTTCTCTCGTTCTTTGCCTCTCTTTTCTTCATTTCTCTCTCTGTGTGTGTGTGTGTGTGTATATATATATATATATATTTTTTTTTTTTTTTTTTTACACACCTACAAAATCAGGTCCATCTTACGGGTTTCCCCCTCTTCTTTCTTGAGACATGGTCTTCCTACTTTGCCCAGACTGGCCTCAAATGCACTATCCTCCCACCACGGCTCCCCAAATGCTAGAATCACAAGCGCACAACTCTGCCTGTTCCGGAAAGCATTGCCTGATCCAAAGCCATGGTGACGGCCACCGTGTGCCGTGCCTGTGGGATGCCCTCCTCGGCACTCTTTGGCTCAGGACTTGTTTCTCATGCGTGGCATATAATGGAAACTTGTGTTTTCGGGTGTGCATGTGTTGTGCGGGGCCTTGTGCCACCTGACACATGAACCTTGCTGCTTCTCTAGCCCGATGCTGAACTCCAAAGACCACACACTTGTCTTAATCACTGAGCTCCCTAGGCCTCCAGAAGTGGGTGGTGTTTGTGAATACCAAGAAGAAGGAAAACACAGAGACTTCTCTGCTGTGGCCACAGGGACTCGCTCCAGAAGGGAAGTTACAGATTTGTGCGGTTCCCTGAGGGCTGAGTAAGATTTCTGCAAGCCAAGTTCATTTATGATGGGTTATCTCTGGGCAGCTAGGGAGCCAGTGAGCAGATAAGCCTGGGCCTAGAATAAGTTTATTAGGCACAGAGAAAGGGGACAGCAGAGGAGGTAGGAAGTGGAGGTCTTTCAAAATCTCACAGACAATGAAGAGCCATGAGGTTTTTTGAGAGAGGAATGACTCTTCAAAGCCAGCATTTTATCAGGTGGCTGAAGGAGGATTCTGTGAGTTTGAGACTGTTCTGAACTACAGAGTTGAGAATTTTGTCTACAAACAAGCAAACAGCCTCAGCACTTTGGTAAGTTCAGTCAGGTCCATTCTGGCCTGTATCTGGTAAGGCTAGAGGCAAGAGACACAGCTCAAGTAAATCTGCTGTGCTTCCTGGATGCTCTGGAGTAATCGCTGGTTCTCCTTGGGCTCCAGGTTCTGTTGGGTTAGGTAATAGGGAGGGGCAGGGGAGAAGTATCGAAAGGGACACACTCCATCAGCCTTGAGGCTATGTCCTTAAGGGGTGGAGTCAAGGAGCACAGAAGACTTTCTTGGGCATGCCACCAAGGGAGGGCACTTTCCATCACAACTTGAGCCAGGAACACGGGCTTCTGGTTCCCTGCTGGTAGCTGGCACGTCCTTGGGAACCCTGCCTTCCTGTTGGTGAGGTAAAGCCTGCAGGCTCTGGGACTGAAGTGCCCCCAGGCTGTGTTCTGCGTGCCTCTGTGTGCCTACCCAGCCTGTCTCACTGCTCCCTCAGGTGACCCGAGCTTACCCGAGAACTGGTGATGTGTGTCCTGCTCTCGCTGCTCCTGCTGACCTCTGTCTTCTCACTAGGTAAGCTGCACAGGTCTAGTGCCTCTCACGGGGTCTGGCCCCTGGGGACCCGGCACGGCAGCCTAGAAGATGCCTAGGTCAGATGTGGCTGAGTACACCCCATCCCTGGGGCACTGAGAGGGCCTTGCTGGCGGTACACTGTAGGATTTAGACAGGATTTGGGGCCCATCTGTAGCACCCTTTCTAGGGCAGGTGACCTAGGCCTGCATCACCCTCCTCTCTGTTGCATTCCTACCCTCTTCCAGGCCAGGCCACATGGGGCGTCTCCAGTCCCAAGGATGTGCAGGGCCTGAAGGGCTCCTGCCTGCTCATCCCCTGCATCTTCAGCTTCCCCGCCAATGTACCAGTGCCTCACGGCATCACTGCCATCTGGTACTATGACTACTCGGGCAAGCGGGAGGTGGTGAGCCACTCAAGTGACCCCACGCTGGTGGTGGAGCGCTTCAGGGGCCGAGCTGAGCTTCTGGGGAACGTGGATCACAAGGAGTGCAACCTGTTTCTCAAAGACCTACAGCTGGAGGACTCTGGCTCCTACAACTTCCGCTTTGAGATCAGTGAAGGCAACCGCTGGTCAGACATCACAGGCACCTCGGTCACTGTGACAAGTGAGGAGGCTGAGAACTGGCCACTGTCAGGGGCTCCCAGGCTGCTGCTGCCTCCTAACCAGGCCTTCAGCCTCAGCACCCACTCTGGTCTTTGCCTAACACTTTCACTCTGTGACATTGGCGGGGATGGGGTGGGGAGTGATTCCCCCCAAATTCTCCTTTTCTTGAGGGCCCCCTGACCAGGTGTTCCCCTTTAGTTGGGGTTTTCAGGGCTCTGAGAATGGCTGTCTTTGTTTTCAGAGGAACCCAGCGCCCCCACTATTACCAGAGCAGGAGAGCTGCGCGAGGGTGTGGAGGTGAACTTCAACTGCTCCACGCCCTACGTGTGCCTGCAGGAGCAGAGCAGCCTGCAGTGGCGAGGCCAGGACCCCACGAGTTCTGTCACCTCCAGCACCCAGCGCCTCGAGCCCACTGGCGTCCGTCGCCAGGAGACCCTCCACACAGCCCTCTCCTGGCAGGACCACGGCCGGACCCTGACCTGCCAGCTCTCAGTGGCCACGCACAGTAGTCAGAAGGAGCTTTACCTGCAAGTGCTCCGTGAGTGTGTACCCTTGGCACTGAACTCAACTTACAAAGACAAAAACAAAAACAGCTTGTCTAGCCCCTAGGAACAGACCCTTGGCACTGTGGCGCTCAGGGCAGATGGAGAGAGATGCTGAGTTCTAACGGTCCATGCCTATAGCTCCAATCCTAGGAAGAGAGAGAGGCACATGGGTCTCTGGGGCTTGCTGGCAGGTCAGCCTCATCTACTCGGCAAGTTCCAGGCCAATGAACTACTCTGCCTGAAGAAACAGGGTGGGCGGCATCTGGGGAACAGCACCCAAGGTTGACCTCTGGCCTCCATATGCTTGTGCCTATGTGTGCATCCCTTACCCATGGCCACTATAAACACACACACACACACACACACACAC